TGACCTTCTCCTCACTCATGCTCTCTCTCACTGTCTCTCTCTCAAATAAATAAATAAAATCTTAAAAAAAAAAAAATAATGGCTAATGTTTAGGGGTGCCTGGGGGGGCTCAGTCGGTTAAGCATCTGCCTTGGGCTCTGGTCTTGATCCCAGGGTCCTGGAAGCAAGCCCCACATCGGACCCCCCTGCTCAGTAAGGAGCCTGCTTCTCCCTCTCCCCCCTGCTTGTGCTCTGTCTCTCTCTCTCTAACAAATAAAATCTTTTTAAAAAATAATGGCTGATGTTTAAAAAAAACAAACAAGGCTGATGTTTATTTCAGAGGTTCAGTGAACCTGGCCCTGTTCTAAACATTTTACACGTATTAACTTCACCGAATCCCACAACCACACAAGCAACCAAACAAGGACAAGGCTCAGAGAAGGTACTCAACCCGCACCTGATGTCTGACCAGGCACCTGAGTCCGTGGCCTTGACCATCAGCCTGAGGCACTGGGTCTGACTCTCAGTGTGGAGTGGGACAGCTAGCTTATGCCTCGTTGCTCCCCTGGAAATTCTGTCCCCTTTTTCCTCCTAGACTCCATTGAGCAGCTGTGGGAAGCTTGTCTCTCCAGGCTGAACTAGGTGATCCTTGTGCTCTGATAATGCCCGGAGTTACCTCCAATAGAGCGGCTATCTCTTCGTATTTCTCCCTCCAGACTAGGAGCCCCTGGGAAGGATGGGCCTGGAAAGGACTCTCGTCTGGGTCCCGGCACTGCCTGGCACCTGGGAGGGCTCTCACAGGTTGTGGTAGGATCCGTTAGCTGCTATCGACTCTTGATCTCAGGGTCATGGGTTTGGGCCCTGTGTTGGGCTCTGTGCTGGGCATGAAGCCTACTTTAAAAAAAAAAAAAAATCAGGGGTGACTGGGTGGCTCAGTTGGTTAAGCATCTGCCTTTGGCTCAGGTCATGATCCCAGGATCCTCTGCTCAGTGGGGAGCCTGCTTCTCCCTCCCCCTCTGCCATTCCCCCTGCTTGTGCTCGCTTTCTCTCCCTCTCTGTCTGTCAAATAAATAAATAAAATCCTTTTAAAAATTATTTATTTATTTGAGAGAGAGAGAGAGAGAGAGCAGGAGGAGGGGGAGGAGTGGAGGGAGAGGGAGAAGCAGACTCCCCACACAGCAGGGAGCCCGACGTGGGTGGGGCTTGATCCTCTGGGATCAAGACCTGAGCCAAACGCAGACACTCAACCGACTGACTGAGCCACCCAGGCGTCCCTAAAAAGAAAATCTTTAAAAACAAATAAATAAGGGACATCTGGGTGGCTCAGTCAGTAAGCAGCTGCCTTTGGCTCAGGTCACGATCCCAGCGTCCTGGGATCGAGCCTGGCATCGGGCTCCTTGCTGGGGGGGGGGGGCCGGTGGGCCCTGCTTCTCCCTCTGCCTCTGCCTGCCTGTGCTCTCGCGCTCTCTCTCTCTGTGACAAATAAATAAAGAAAATATTTTTAAAAAATAAAATAAAAACAAATAAGTAAATAAAATAAAACTGGAGAGGCACCTAGGTGGCTTAGTGGGTTAAGCCACTGCCTTTGGCTCAGGTCATGATCTCAGGGTCCTGGGATGGAGTCCCACATCGGGCTCTCTGCTCAGTGGAGAGCCTGCTTCCCCCCTCTCTCTCTGCCTGCCTCTCTGCCTACTTGTGATCTCTTTGTCAAATAAATAAATAAAATCTTTTCAAAAATAAATAAATAAAATAAAACTGGGTAAAGGATCAGAATAAACATTTTCTCCAATGAAGACAGACAAATGGCCAATAAGCACATAAAAAAATCCCACCTCATTACTTATTAAGGGAACACAACAGAAAAACCATAATGAGACACCAGTTCATGCCCAGTAGTGGAATTTCAAACAAAAGGTCAGAGAACCACAAGTGTAGAGAAACTGGAACCCTCATGCACCAATAGTGGGAATGGAAGCTGGGGCAGCCACTTTGGAAAAGTCTGGAGGTTCCTCAAAAGCTGAAACATAGAGTTACCGTTTCATGCGGCATTTCCACTTTCAAGGGAAATGAAAACATGTCCACCCAAAAACTTGGACACAAACGTTCGTAGTATTCAGAAGAGCCAAAAAGTGGAAACAACGCAAGTGTCCATCAACTGATGAATGAATGAACTATGGTATAACTTAGACTAAGGAACAGTATTCTGCCATAAAAAGAAAGTATTGATACATGCTACAGAATTAACCTTGAATTTAACCTTGAACCTGCATTAACCTTGAAAACATGATGCTGAATGGAAAAAAAAAAAAAGAAGTTAAAAAAAAAATCCATTTATGTAACCTGTCCAGATTGGGTATATCCACAGCAAGAGGAAATAGAGTAGGAGATATTAGTGCTGGGTGGAGGGGAGAGTTGGTGGGTATGACAGATCACGGGTATTGAGTTTCTTTTTGGAGTGACGAAAATGTTCCAAAACTGACTGTGGTGATGGCTGCCCGGCTCTCTGTATATCCTAAAGACCACTGAGGGGCACCTGGCTGGCTTAGTCAGCAGAGCATGGTGACCCTTGATGCCTGCATCATGAGATCAAACCCTACCTCGGATGTGGAATTTACATAAAAAGCAAAATGACCAAACAAATAAAACCACAAAAAAAAACCCACCACCCCACTGAATTGTATACTTTTTTTTTTTTTTAAGTAATCTCCATACCCAAGGTGGGGCTAGAACGTACGGCCTCGAGATCAAGAGTTGCACACTCCTCCAACTGAGTCAGCCAGGCACCCCTGAATTGCAGAGTTTAAATGGGTGAACTATATAAATAAAACTGATTTTTATTTAAAAAAAAAAAAAAAGGTAAGTCAGCAGAATTTGGGTTTGGCCTGTTGACCCCTGGCATGGAGATCATAAGTAAAATGAGATTACAAGGAAAAAGACAAATTCATATCCAGAAGGGGTGATCAAGAGAGTAAGTGATCCAGTTTTTTTTATAAATCAATTATGCCAAGAAGAAAAAAGGGTGGGATGGAGGGGACTGTTCTAAATTAAGAGGAATTTGAGAAACATAACAGCAATAACTTGACTAGATTTTGATTCAAACAAATAAAACTTTTTAAAAAGGCATTTTTGGCCCACAAGATTTGATTATTGACCAAGTAATAGGTCATATTCTAGAATTTTTGCGTTTGGAAAGTGTGATGATGGTATTGCGGTCATGTCAATGTCCCGTTTTTACACATGCATCTTAAAAGTTTTAGGGATAATATAACACGATGGATAGGATTTGACTTACATATTTAATTAAAACAGTATGTCAAGCCAGTATGGCAAAAAGATTACTAATCGGTAAATCCGGGTGGTACGGATACTTACATCATTCCTTCACTTTTATGTAAGTTTGAACAGTTTCTTTCTTTTTTTTTTTTTTTTATTTAACAGAAAGCGGGGGGCGGCGCGCACAAGCAGGTGCAGTGGCAGGCAGAGGGCGGGGGAGACGCAGACTCCGCGCTAAGCGGGGAGCACTACCCGGGGCTCGATTTAAGGACCCTGAGATCATGACCTGAGCGGAAGACAGAGGCTTAAACGACTGAGCCACTCAGGCGCCCCAAGTTTGAACATTTTCATAACAGAACGTTAAAGTAAAAACGCTTTGAGGTCCAAGTTCACACCGACTCAACAGCACCGTCGGGAGCCCAGGTCGGCCGGACCCCAGAACTCCACGGACGAAAAGGTTAAACCCTACACCAAGTAAGAGAAAGCACAGGCTGTCGAAAAGGTGCAAAGGCGGCGGCCCGTGGGGGCACAATCTTCTCGCCCTCCCTGTCACAGTCTGGGAAACTGAGGCAGGTACGGGATCCGTCTTCCTCAACTCCCACTCCTTAGGAACCCCCCCTCCCATACAACCAAGAGTCCCAGCCTCCCCTTCCCCTGGGACCCCCGGCCCACCGCCATCTACCGTGGAATACCAACTCTCAGCTGAACTGGCGGATGGAGGCTTGGCTACCTCCAGGGGTTCCTGGGAGATGTAGTTCAGCTTCAAACTTGGAGGCCTGGAGGGCTCTATTCATGATTGACAGGGAGTCGGGAATTCGAAATCCTATCGCTTTCTCCCTCAGGACCCCAGAAGTCCAGCCCGCGGGAAGGCGATCGCAGCAACACTATCCCGCCACCGCCTGGAACTCACCTTACAAACGACTCCTCGTTCCTTCGTTGCTCCTTCAACTGTGCCCCTACACCGGAAAGGAGGGCTGTTTTCCCCGCTCCGCTTCTCCCACTTCCTCCCGGGGGGGAAAAAAAAAAAAAAAAAAAAAAAGACCGGAAGTACAGTTGCCCCGAGTTACCTCGTCTGACTTGGTAAATCCTCCGTCCTTCTTTCCCTCCCTCCGGAAACGGGAGTAGCAACCTGAAGGTTCCGGGTTAGTGCAACAGGCGTGAATATGGGGCGCGCTTAGTATACACTAGGCATTTCCCCGGGCGGGTGGTTATCCTGCTTAGGCCCAGGCTTTGTGTCTCTCCAAGTCCGAATTTAAGGATTAACCACTTCGTCCAGAGATTGGGAAATTCATTCCCCCAAGTGTATCAAACACTTGCGACATGTTGAGAGACAATTGAGAAGGGACAGTTCTTCTGTTCCCAGTTTATAAGGAGAGCAGTTGAGAAATCAGAAGTCAAACCCTTCAAATCACCTCAGGAAATAGGAACTGACTACAGCATCGCCCATCTACCCCCAGGTACCAAGGCATACTTACATTTCCCGCCAGTTTTTAGCTATCTAGCTATCTGGAGACCTCGATATTTATTTCCTAGCTCACCCAGGGAAACTTCCATCTCAGAGAGACCAAAAAGGGAAGAGGTACATACCCAATCCCCTATGTGCCTCCCCTAAGTGCCTCCACGGTGTCGGAGACCCTGGCTTCCCTCAGGACTCTCTGGACCTTGGGCCCTTCCTCCTAAGGTCCCTTTAAATACTTTGTCCCTTACCTGAGTCCCGCCCAGGGCAGGTAATCACAAACCCCGCCCCTCTGCCAGAAACCGGGATCGTGTGGATTCCCGGGAGAGGGGTACCCCTCCTACCTCTCCCCTCCCCTCTCCCCTGTCCCTCATTCACAGCTGGCCGCAGCTGGCGGAGGAAGCCCCGATTAAAAAGGAAGGGAAAGCGCTCACAAGTCTGGGCAGGTAAGTGAATGTCCCCTGGAGGCAGAACCTGGCTTGGGGACTCTGGCTTCTTGGCTCCCTGCCCAGCTGGGACTCAGAAGTTCCCGTCCGCCAGCCCCAGAAGTCCAGGACCTCCACTCCCTTCTCCCCTTGGACCCAAGAATATAGGCTCTTTGCCTCTCCTGCTCTTGTCTCTCCTGTAATCTTTCATCTTTTGGAGGTGGATGTGGCAATGGGCACAGGGAGAGGCAAGTGTAGGTGGAAATTACTAGGAAGAAAGGAATCCTGATCACCGATGGACATGTTTATGGGCACCTACTATGTGCCAAGATTCGTGCTGGGTGCCGCAGACATGGTAGAGGAAAAATACGAGCTCCCTGCCCCAGTCTCGGGAGGCACGCTTCTTTCGCTCAAATCCTGCTTCTGAATCTGGCAAAATCATATGACCTTGGGCAATTCTTTTACCTCTCTGTGCCTCATGTTCCTCATCTGTAAAATGGGGATAATAATAGCATGGCTGTGAAAATTAAATTGAGTTGCTACAGGGAAACTACCTTGAACAGTAGCTCAGTGACCTGGCCCAGAATACAGGCTACATGAGTGTCTGCTATGACTATTATCACGGACCATAGCGTCCAGTCGGGAGGACCTTGCCTCATTCCCCAGGGGCTGAGGCACTTGATACTGCTCCTGGTTTCAGGTGTTCATAAAATATGAGGGGCTACCCCTCTCTGCTACTGCTGTACCTGGGACTGACCACCTGCTCAGACACCTCACCTGGTGGGGAGCAAGACCAAGGTGAGTGTTTATGGGATGAGCTGGTGTCCAGGCACAGCCCCCCCCCCCCCCAGTCCACCTTCCCTGGACTCAGGAACCCTTGCCTCTAGTCCTCTTCTCTGCCAGGACTCCACAGTTCTCAGTTCCCTTAGGCCCGGGTTCCTCCATGTCCCCAGTCTTAGGAACTCTCCATTTTTCTGTCCTTCATGTCCTTTAGGTCCAGGAGTCTTCCGGGACTCCCCAGAGGCCCAGAGCTTTCTAGGAAGCCATAGACGGATTCCACGAGCCAATCACTGGGACCTGGAGCTGCTCACGCCAGGAAACCTGGAACGGGAGTGTTATGAGGAGCGATGTTCCTGGGAGGAGGCGAGGGAGTGTTTTGAGGACAATACTCTGACTGTGAGAGCCTCTCCAGGCCCTGGGATGTTCTGGCCCACAATTCCCTCTACCCGGGGTCTCAGAAATCAGGGTGGGCTGGTGCGGGGGGTATGGAAGCTCCCATTGACATGCTGTCTTTCCATCTGCTCGACTTCCATCCTTTCAAGGAGCGCTTTTGGGAGAGCTACATCTACAATGGCAAACGAGGTGAGTGAAAGGGAGGGAGGTGTGTGGGGGGGTAGCTCTCGTTCTGGGCAGCTAAGGCAGCCCTTTCTCCTGGAGGTTGATCCAACATCCCCGACCCCAAATTTGCCTCCTCCAAATCCCATGCTCCCTGAGTATGCTGGAGGTGGTTATTAGAAGAGGCCCCTCCTTTGAGACTAGAGTCCCTGCCTGAGGAGCCCACCACACCTCATTTGGAGGGAGTCTTCTGTCTCTAGGAAGAAGGAAGTACAGGTGGAGAGGGGTTACAGCCCTGGGGCCTGTGAGGCCTCGGGCTCAGAGGCCGACCCACCTGAGCTCCGCTTTGGAATCCAGAGCCCAGCCCCTTCTGCAGCTTGGTTGCTAGGGGGACTGCTCCCTAGCAACGGGGCCTGGCCAGGCCAGGCCAGGTGGTGGAAGCCTGTGCTTCCTCACCTGCCCAGGCTGTCCACCCCCACCCCTTCCTGTGAGTTCTAAGGCCCCACCATGGCCGCAGTCTTGTTGCTAAGGGGGGACTGCTCCTTAGCAACCAGGCCTGGCCAGGCCGGACCAAGGAAGCCCGCAGCACTCACTACCTGGCTGGCTTCCCCTCCCCCACAGCCCCATCCCAGCCTTGGCCTGGTTACCAGAGAGGCCTCCCTAGCAACCACACCTAGCCAGGCTCAGGACCCAATACCCACTGCCCAGGGAGGAACCCCCTGCCTGTACCAGATGCACCCCCCCTCTTCTGGTGGTCTGGTTGCTAGGGGTGGATGCCCCTTAGCAACAAGCCCTAGGTCTGGGCGGGAGTCCTCACACTGGAGCCTGGTTGCTAGGGGAGGTGACTACCTCACTGCAGGCCTAGTGAGGCCTGGTGGCTCCTTGAATCCACCTGGAACATGTCAGAATCCGGAGGGCCTGCCTTCTCAGTGTAGCTCTTTGCTAAGGGGGCTAAAATCCTGGGGTTTACCATTTGACCAAAGCTCCCAACCCAGTGCTAGAGGAAGTGTCCCCAGCTGCAAGACCCCGGAGGGCCTCATCAAGCTGGAGTTATCCCTGTGTCTGCTTCCCCTCAGACACGTGGCCTGGGATGGCTAAAGGCCTAGGGTCCTAGCAAAAGGTTCACCTGAGTTCTAGACACCCTCAAAACTATTATTGGGGTGGGGGAAGGTCCCGAAATTCCTGCACTGATAAATGAAGTTTTCATAGCTTCTGGTCAGTTCAGAAACCTTCCTGTGATTCTGCCCTTTCTTCAGTGTTGAGGTCTTGGCCCCCTGTGGCCTGGGTGTGGTAAAGGGACTATGTTCCTGAGGGGGGAGGGGTGCCAGATAAAACACAGGACCCCCCCCCATCGGTTAAATTTGAATTTCAAATACACACAAATAAATTTTTTTAGTATATTCTAAATACTCCAAGGGACATACACTAAAAAAAAAATTCATTTTGTATCTAAAATGAATGTTTAATTGGGTATCATATATTATTATTTGCTAAATCTGGTGATGCTCAGAGTGGGCATTTGCTAAATCTGGTAATCTCCAGTTGCCTGCTTGAGCTCCCCACCCCCACCTTCAGTGTGTCCATTGCCCTCTTAGCAGATGGGTTTTGTTTGGGGGGACTTGAACCACGCTGTGTCCAGGGAGGGGCCTCTGTCACCATGGGGATCCCACTGCCATATTTTTTTAGCCCTAGATGGAGTTATCCTAGATCCTTTATGTGTTTGAGCTCAATGAATTTCCACAATGCATGGGGAAGGAGTTATTGTTCCCATTTTACAGAGCAGCAAACCGAGGCTTAGAGAACCAAATGTGTTGAGTTGCTTGGAGTCACACACCTAGGAAGTGGCCCCGGTTCTGCGTTGCTTCTTGGTCTGTACTCCTGCCTCAGGGGAAAGTATTGGGTTATTGCGGTAAGTGATAGCTCCTGACACAGTGTCGCCCCCCACCTCCATTTCAGGGCGTGGACCAGTGGACGTAGCAGGCCTGGTGGTCGGGCTGACGTCTGGGATCCTGCTCATTGTCCTGGCCAGCTTGGGAGCCTTTTGGTATCTGCATTGCCGACCAGGCAGAGGCCAGCAGTCCTGTCCTCAAGAGTAAGGGGCATTCAGAGAGAAGGGGCCCAAAGGCTGGAAAGCAGGGTGAACAGGAAGGAGGAAGGGTGGACCTCAGGAGACAAGTCAGGGATTGAGACAGGTGGGCGCTGAGGAAGGATCTGAGGAGACCATCAGGTGGAGAGTCAGACCGTGAGGCTGTGTGTGGATGAGTATTGTCGTTTGTCTGTCTGACTATAACCACAGTACCTTGTACACAGTAGGAGCTCGATCAGCATTTGCTGCCTGTCTCCATGGTACTGGGTTTTGCGTGATTATTACTGTGTGTATTGTATCTGATGAGGCTGCAGCGTGGGGTCTCTGGGTGTCCGTGACATGTCAGTTTCTCTGGTGACAGGCTGTAGCACACGTGTGTGTGTGTGTGTGCGCGCACACCTTATGAGTTGTCTAGGTATGTGGTTCTCAGTGGCAGGGTCCAAGAAAGTGCTCGAGTGTCAGTCTGGAAAGTATGGCCGGTCTGGGGATTTTTCAGAAGAGTTTATTGTTAAGAGCGGCACTGGGAAATTTGTGAGTGGGTGTCTCTCTGTGTTGTGTTGGCTTCTGTATGTGTCTGCCTGTCTCTCTGAGGGGCTGTCTTTTTCTCCATTGCTCTCCCTGTAGCTGTAACGCATGTGTGTCTGTGAATAAGAGTGTGTCTCAGCAGTTGATTTCTGTCTCTGCCTGTCTCTGTTCGTCTGCCTGTCATTCTGAGTGGAGGGTCAGGCTGAAGGTGACCTTCTTTCTCCCTGCTCTTTCTCCCTTCCACTTGTGTCCCCCTGCCACCCTCAGAGTCTCTATGTCCCTAGGTCTTCCCACCTGCCCTCTCCCAAGTCCATCCTGTAGGTTTCCCCTGCTAACGGTGTACTTTCTGTCCACAGAGCTGAGCTCATTAATCCCCTGAGTCCCCCGGGCGACCTAGGCCCGCCGACGCCCCTGCCTCCACCCCCACCCCCAGGCCTCCCCACCTACGAGCAGGCGCTGGCGGCCTCTGGGGTGCATGATGCACCTCCGCCCCCCTACACCAGGTACTGGGCTGGGCTTCTCCCCGGGGGTGGGGCGCGGAGGGGAGGATGCAGCGGGAGGAGGGGCGTGGTCTCAGGGGCGGGACTTGGAATTTCGAGCTTATTATCCGGGGCGAGGCTTGGAGCGTGGGGGCGTGGTCCAGTGTTGTCTGTGTGGAGCTTTACGGGAGGGTGGGTCTTGTGCCCAGAGGGTCTGCGATTGGCTGAGACGCCCGCGGGCGGGTCGGAGTGGTCTTGGTTCAGGGGGGAAAAACAGCCGGGTCTTTGACTCCCCGTTGTGCCCCTCCCCTTGCAGCCTCAGGAGGCCTCGGTGAGGAGCTGTTTCGGAGCCGAAGTTCCCCAGATTCACAGCGGATTTCAGAGCCCCCATGCCTCTTAAACTACGTAGCTGAGATCGGGGAGTGATGGGAGTAGGGGTCGTCCGGCCCGAGGCCTACCCTGGCACACGTGTTTCCGCCGAGTACGGATACGCGCACATCCCCGGCCAACGTGTACCCTCGTCCCGGCTACTCGCGGGCCCCCAGCCTTTTCTGACTGGGAGGAGGGGTACCGCCAGTCCTACCCCCCGGGTAGGCGTCCGTGGAAACTCGGACCCCGGCGCGTAGGCCGGGTATACCCACTCGCGTGAGTGAGCAGGTGTGACAAGGCCATCGCCTTACAGTGCTATGGGTCACGCACACGCAGGGCCCTGCGTATGCACATGCATGTTTTCGTGTGCTCCCCGTGCACGCTCGCGGGCGCTCTGCAACCCAGGGAAAGGGTGGGGGACATATATGCAAGAGTGCTTTTGGGGGGAGGGCTCGCATTGCACCGGGAGACTGGAGTTGAGCTCCTCTCTTAAATAAAGAACCTTTGTAAAAGAGACAAAAAGTGAAACAAGGCGGAAAAAAAAAACTAAATAAACTGAATTGCATTCGCCGTCTGCGCGCGGCGGAGTTGGCTTTCTGTACAAACGCTGCGCCCTACACCCCCAGGCCCTGCTAGCGCTTAGTATCTAGCGCTCCCTCTCTCTCTCGCTCTCTTTTTTTTTTTTTTTTTTTTTTTTTTTTTTTTGGGGGGGGTTGGGGGGGGGGGCGGCGCGCAGCCACCCCCCCCGCCGCCCGCCCCCCCTTCCCCTACCCCCTCCCCCAGCCGCCTTGTGCAAAGATGGCTGCACCGTGAGCGCAGAGGAGGAGGAGGCGGCGGCGGCGGCGGCGAGAGAGCGAGCACCCAGCGCCCGCACCCACCCCGGGGCCGCCCGGGACGCCCCCTCCTGAGCGCGCGCCCTCCCTTCTCTCTTGCAAGCGCCGGGGCAAAGGCGGAGACAGCGGGGTCCCTCCTACCCCCCTTTCCCTCCAGGGGGAACCCCCCTTCCCCCTCCTTGGCTCGGCGGCTGCACCCCCTCCCTTGCCCGCCCCTCCGCCCCTGCCCCCTCCCTCCCCAGCCCGGGGCCTTCCCGGGCCTTCGGCGGCTGCAAAGAAAAAGAGAGAGAGAGAGAGAGAGAGAGAGAGGAAAAAAAAAGCAGCAGCGGAGGGAGCGGCGGCGGAGGAGAGCGCGCGCGCGCCCCCTCCCTCCCTCCCTCCCTCCCCCTCCCCCCAATTTCCACCGCGGCCAATTCATGGACAGGAACTACCCCAGCGCCGGCTTCGGGGACCCGCTCGGCGCCGGGGCGGGATGGAGTTACGAGAGGTCAGCGAAAGCTAGGTAAGGAGCCGAGGGTGGCCTGGAGGAAGGGGCCAAGGGGTGGGGGCCCAGCCGGGCCGGGCCTGGCCCGCCTGGCGACGCGTGCATCGCAAACTCCCCTCCGGCTTGCAAGGGAGCGGCCTTCCTCGGTTTGCAACAACGCCGCCGCCCCAGTTTGCAAATTGCAAACTCCGCCAAAGCCAGCTCCGGCATGCAAAGGGAAAGATGCAGCGGGGAAATGGGGGTGCAAAACAATTTCGGACGGGAAGGCCCCGGGAAGGTGGGAGGGACTGGCGAAGCAAGGCCTGGATTTCCCCCCATCCTTGGATTCCCGGCTTGCTGATTCCTACCCCCTGGGTCCCAGGCTCTGCTCTTGCTAAGGTGGGATGGAAAGGAGAATTAGAACGCAGACCTGGGGGGCGCCCCCCCTCCCGTCCTATTGTTCCGGGACTGCGCGAGGCCGCGCCACTCGGCCTCCCCCCACCGAAATTCCGCGCGCAGAGTGGGCACAGGGCCCCGCCCCCTTTCCAAGCTGGGGTTCTGTGTGTGTAAGGGGGGGTCCTGGAATCTGAGGCACGCCCCCTTTAGCTCCCCCACCCCCAAAGGCAGAGAATCCTAGTTGATGGCGAGGAGTGGAGTATTTGACCTCTCGAGTCCGAGCCGTGAATCGGGGCCGTTGCATGGGAAGATTCAGATGTTTCCGTGGTGTGTGGTTGTGTGTGTGAGCGTGGGCCCTGTTCGTGCTTAGTTGGTAGCCGGCTCACCTGCGAATCAGCCCCTTTCCTGATGTGTATGTTCTGCCCTCACTCTTCACCTGTCCCCAGCCCCCCGCCCCCTGGGTTACCCAGCGTGGTTGGGCATGATCCCACATGTGTTAGGATTTTCCATTTGGGACTTAGCGCTCTGTATGTTTCCTTCCCCACGAGTGAGCTGGATCGTCGTTTGCACACATACCTGGGTTTGCAAGGGGCCATACATTTGAACCTCAACCCCCGGGGATGGACGTTGTTCTTGGTCGCACTTGTACCTGGTACTTTCCCCTAGTCCTATCCCTTCCCCACCCCGCATCCCAGCCGTTTGGGGAACAATCTACCTTCTCCCAACTCTGCATCACCCCATGAAGTTCAGGGCCATGTGTTCCCACGTGTGTGCAGTAGAGTGGGCGTCCTTATGCACCTCTCAGGTTGGCCCCAGGGCCTCGTGTCATCCAGGGGGTGGTGGGCTGGGTAGGAGGTCCATGCCTTTCACATTCTCAACTTGAGGTGCTTCCTCTGACTCTTCACCCTCTTCTGTTTGTCTCGTCTCTGTGCATGGCTGTGTTTGTAAACGTGAGACTATCTGGGCTGTATTTATTGGGGAATGTTTCATGGCTCTTTTCGTTGGGTACCCCGATTCCCTTGTCTTCTTTCCTTTAGGGCCCAAGGTTCCTTAGGATAACCCCCAGTCAGCTGGAAGATTTCCCCCTCACCCCGGGGGATTTGCTGAGTTCCCTTCTAGGGCAGCTTTGGAGGACACCCTAACATCTCTCCCTTCCTCCCAGCTTGGTCTATGGCAGCTCCAGGACCTCGCACCCCGAGACCGACATCTTACACCGCCAGGCCTACGCGGCCCCCCACCCACTGCAAAGCTATGCCACCAACCACCACCCGGCAGGTACGGCCCCCGTCCTGCCCCGCCTGGGCTGGCCCTCCCTCCGAGGCAGCTGGTTGGCTGCTGAAAGTTCCACCCCTCCTAATTGGCCGTGCCCTATGTCCCGGCCCGCCCCTTGCTACCTCTCCTCTGATTGGTTGCCTCTGAGGCTGCTGGTCCCTGCTCAATTTCACGCTGGATTCGTCCACCCTTGTCTCTGGCCCCGCCTCTTTCGCTCCAATTGGCCCCGTCCCCTCAGCCCCCAAATCCCACCTTCTCTTCCAGGCTTTTCCTCCTCTCTATCCCACCCCAGTCCTTTCTTTCTGGGTTTACCTGTCCTTTGGCTTCTTGGTCCTGTGAATTCGTTCTTCCTGATTCCTTTTCTTCCTGAATGGCTCTAAGTCTTTGGACCTTACCTTTTTTTCCTGGGTTTGCCCACCACCTTATTCTTCCCTGTGTAGAACTACCTCTAGGGCTTCTGATTGGTTCCCTCCTTCCTGGCTGAACCAACAAGGAGATTATATTGTCCGATTTGATCCTTAACTTTCCTGGTTGGTTCCTTCCCTTTATTCTTGCCCCCCCCCTTTTTTTCTGGGATCCTTCCACTTTTAATCAACCCCTTTTGGCCTGTCCTCCCAGTGCTTCTAAGTGGACTTGGTTACCCCATACCTTCCCCTTCCTTGCTAGAATTGCCCAAATCCTTTTGTGTCTCCCCTGCCCCCCTCCTTTGCCTACATTTCCTCTCCTGGGTTCCCTGCCCTAATGACTGGGGTATACTTCATCCTGCTGATTGGCTCCCTTTTCCCCTTCGTTGTCCTCAGCCCTGCCTCCTTAGTTTGGCTGTGTTCACTTGATCCTCTTTGAATCTCCCTCTTTGCTTTCTCCAGCCCTTTTCCCTGACCCAACTTGCTTTTGGCCTTTTTCCTTTTCCCTTTTAACTCTGCCACTTAGCTGACTCTGCCCCCTTGTCCTTGGCCAGGCCTCTCTGGACTCTTCGACACTGGCCTCCACCACGCGGGCTCAGCAGGGCCCGACGCCTCCGTCATGAACCTCATCTCGGCCCTGGAGTCCCGGGGCCCCCAGCCTGGCCCCTCTGCCTCCTCTCTCCTCTCCCAGTTCCGCAGTCCTTCCTGGCAAACAGGTAAGCCTAGCGCCGGCCCAGGAGTGCCAGGGTGGGGCTGGCATGTGGTCTGCCCTGACCTGTGGTCTTCTTCATTGTCCCCAGCCATGCACACGCCGGGCCCCACGGAGCTCTTCATTTCAGGCGCCTTGCCGGGTTCCAGCACCTTTCCATCCTCCTCTGCCCTGTCGGCCTACCAGCACCCGGCTTCCTTTGGCAGCCGCCCCTTCCCAGTGCCCTCATCCCTCAGCCTCCAAGACCCCCCATTCAGCCCCCCAGCTAATGGGCTCCTGTCCCCTCATGACGTGTTGCACCTGAAGCCCTCGCAGGCACCCACAGTGCCATCCTCACTGGGCTTCGAGCGCCTGGCGGGGGGCGGTGTCCTGGGGCCCGCTGGTCTCGGCCCGGCCCAGACCCCTCCATACCGCCCCGGCCCCCCAGACCCCCCGCCACCTCCCCGCCACCTCCCGACTCAGTTCAACCTGCTGGCTTCCTCTTCTGCTGCCGCCGCTGCCGCCGCCGAACAGTCCTCCCCGCAGCTGTACAACTTCTCGGGTGCTGCCCCAGGCCCCCCACCACCCGAGCGGGCCCTGCCCCGCCAGGACACCGTCATCAAACACTACCAGCGGCCGGCCAGTGCCCAGCCCCCGCCGCCCCCGCCCCCAGCCCACGCCCTCCAGCACTATCTGAGCTGTGGAGGCAGCTATCCCTCCATGGGCCACAGGGCTAACCTGGCCTGCAGCCCCCTGGGCGGTGGGGAGCCCTCTCCTGGTGCTGGTGAGCCTAGCAAGGCCGGGCCCAGTGGAGCAGCGGCTGGAGCATCGGGCCGGGCTGCGGGCCCTGAGGCGGCTGGGGGAGGTGGGGCAGGGGGTGGCGGTGGAGGTTACCGCCCCATCATTCAGTCGCCCGGTTACAAGACAGGCAAAGGTGGCTATGGAGCAGCTGCGGGTGGTGCCAACAGACCCCCACCACCCCGTTCGACGGCCACACCCAAATGCCAGAGTCTGGGTGGGCCAGCAGCCGCCTATGCCACCGGGAAGGCCTCTGGGGCTGGTGGGGCAGGTGGCCAAGCCTATTCTCCTGGTCAGCCCCAAGGGCTTCTAGGACCCCAGGCCTACGGGCAAGGGTTTGGGGGG